ACTATTCCCTTTTCATGTCTCCACCATGTTGTGATAACAGGATAACAGCCAGGTGCCTTTGCTGGATGGGCAGTGTCTGCCATTTGTTCCTTCCAGCCATCAGACTTGGAAGCCAAGCAGAAAATCTTCACTTTCTAAGTTATCCAGAGCCAAATATTTTGTATAATTGCAGTAAATGAACTGAGACAAGGATAAACAAGGTTTCTGGGCTTCCAGGGATGAAACTGCTAAGGGGTATGTTGGGGTAGTAGGTGAAGAAACTGAGAAGAAATTGCAGTAAAATGAGTTCTATTTCCTGTAGAGATAGGAAAGGAGTACAGCTTCTGATTGTATAGTAATTTAAAATGCTAACTTATGTTTATGGTTTTTTAATATGGAAGAAAAGTTGGAGATTTATCCCTACTTGTCAATTTATAATCCTGATCACTGAATCCTGGAAGATGAAGTGACTTGGCAAATCTTCACACTAGCTCTTTGAACTTGACATTCAGTGCTATGTTAGCCTCACACAAGTTTGCATACAGAAGTCCTATGAAATAAGAGAAGGTATTTATTATCCTGGAGGCCCTGCTGTGCTATATATTAGATGCACAGAATGTGAAAAATTATCCTTCCTTGTATCATAAATTTCACCTTTCTAAAATATGCTGGTTATAAAAAACATTAATTAAACATTTAAGCATAATTTTGTTCTCAGTCTCAGAATTTAAGGGCCTTTTGTGGAGTGATTTAGATGATAATTATCTTTTAAGAAAAATATTAAAGAAATGTTGAAATCACACATCCTCTCTCTCTCTTTTATTTTGGTTTCTGTCAGTAACAGTTTCTGCAGCAGGCAGAGGCACGTAAGTTCCTTGCCAGAGTAAAGAGACAAAGGGGGACAAGCAGAGCATTCATTCTCCTGTTCCCGTGAAACTGCTCACTGATTCCCTAAATTTTCTCAGACTACAGCTCCTCCTCACTGCCCAGGCTGCACCACTCTGATAGCTGTGCACTTATTATTATTATTATTATTATTATTATTATTATTATTATTGCATCCTATACTGTGTGGCTAGAAACCTTGTTTCCAGAGCTACTTGGCAGCTGACTTTTTTGTTTTCATGCTGAGTGGTCAAGTACCAGTTGGGAAAGAGTCCCCATCACCTGGACTCTCTATGTCACATGCAAAGCCTTCATCCTGTCCTTTATGACTGTTTAGAAAGGCCCCACTCTCTAACTAATACCACTTACCTACCCCCACCAGACTTCCTTCTACTTTATCAAGGAATTTAATTATTTGGAGTGAAACCGTGCCTAATTCATTCCTCCTCACCCTGTATCTTTGTGTGTCTTATGAGTCCCTGGCATTCCATGAGTTTCTGGATGTGATGCCTCTGACATATTAAGTCTGGTTGCTTTCCCTAGTATTTAGAACTCTGACCACTTAATATTTTAGAAACTTGATTCAACTGATTTTCCATTTTCCTAATTTTTGTCTTGTCTTATTCTTTTTAGTGTTTCCCTCAGCTTCTAAACATGAATAAATCTTTCCTATCCAAAGAATTTTTTCTTGACTCTTGAGTGATCCCCATTCCTGGAAAGTTCCTATCTTTGCACTCTCATTTGAAATCATCCCTTTTAAAATTAATTAGTATAATTTGGAAAGACACAATGATCATATTTATCGTAGGGAATTTGTACCTGCATATGATACATCTTGATCCCTCTTTTATTTCCCAATTTCCTTCCCTCCATTTAACCCCTCATCCCCACTTTACTTATAAAGCTTTGTCTCCATTTTATTTTTCTTTATCATTTTTTCTTTTCCCTTCCTTCTCTCCCCTCCTCCTCCCCAGTTCTTATTTCTTTTGAAAACTTTCTTCCTATTTCACAATACCTGTGGTCCTTATTCACTTTGATCCTTATTTACACTTTCTGTTTATCATGCCAGAGAAACAATGTGATATTTACACATTTGTATCAGATTTATTTCACTTAAAAGTATGGTTTCAATGTGCATTCACTTACCTAGAAATGTCTCAAGTTTATCTCTCCTTATGACTGAGGAGTACAGACATGGAAATTTGCACCCACTCATAGGTTTTTCTCCACAGATTCTACAGAGTGCTCGCAAGAAAAACCGCAGCCAGGATAGAAAGCAGAGAGCACTTACAATGGAAGTGCATGCCTAAGAGAGAGAGACCGGAGCTCTACAGAATGAAACACTACAGATGGGTGGCAGTGAGGGGCAGCAAACTCACAAGGCATAAGTAAAGATCTCTAGAGTCAGGAAAAGAGAAGGAAAACAGTCTCTGCTCCTGGGAAAGGGGCAGGACAATGCCTGCTTCTTGAGAGAAAGCATAAAGCAGTTTGTCTGCTATCCTCAAATATCACCCACAATAAACTAAACCAACTATCAGTCCCAACATGAATATGACTGAATCTCACATGATTCAAATCAAGTGAAGAAAACATATAAATGTGTGGGGGAAAAAAGCATAAAACTCAAGAGAAAAATGGGCAAAAGATTGAGTGTGTATTTCACAAAAAAGAATAACCAACATGTTAACAATGAAATGATGCTTAAGGTAATTACTCTAAATGCAAGAAAAAAGCATAATGAGGTATCACTACTCACCCAACAATTAGCTGAAATTAAGGATTCACAACACCAATGCTGTGGAAGATATGGAGCAACTGAAATTGGCTGCAAAGTGTACACAATGATATTGGGAAACTAAATATTTACTACAGTTAAACACACTTAAACCTTATGATCCAGAGGCTTTGTCCTTGGCTATGTGTTCAACCAAAACAAGTGCATATTTGCATATACCTAATAAAGAGACACACTTAAGAATGCTTCATAGTACCACTATCATAAGAGCAAAAACCTAGGAACAATGAAAATTTTCATTAACAGGAAAACATAAATTGTGTGTCATGTAAATGATGAGATACCACACAAGAATGAAAAGAATGATAACACACAACGAAACAATTAGGACCACAAAAAGCATAAAGGAATTATGCTGCATGATTTGATATGCATCAAGTTCCAGAAGACAAACCTCATCTGTGATGAAGTCAGAAGAGTGATTTCCAGTAAGAGTAGGGTTGTGATTTGTGTCTGGATGTCCCCTCAAAGCCTTATGCAGTCATAGGAGGAGGGCTTGTCAGAGGGAACCAAATCTAGAGTTTGATTCTTGGTCCAGTGCTGGAATTAAAGGTGTGAGTGCCACACTTGCCCTAGGGCAGGTAGCCTGCATGCAAGGGACAGAAAGAGACTTCTCTGTCTGTCTCTCCCCCCCCCCTTTCTCTCTCTCTGTCTTTTGCTTGCTTTTGCTGTTTTCCACTCCCATGAATTATCGTCCCTCTGCCATGTGCTACTCTGCCTTGGAGCCAGCCAATTATGGACTGAAACCTCTACAGACTGTGAGCTAAATAAACTTTTCCCCTTTCAACTTTGGATGTCACATATTTTGTTGCAGCAATGAGACAAGTAACTAAGACAGGTAGTATGTACTAAGAACAGTGATGAGGGAACTTTCTGAGCTAAAGAACACATTCTATGTCTTAATCTCCATGGTGTTTCCATGGGAGTGTATATAAGCAAAACTTTAATACCATACTTATGTAATTGCATACACGTTACTTCAGTGAAATACAACGCAACACAACACAATGCAGCAAAACACAACACGACCCGATATGAAACAAAGAATAACACTTGCACAATAGCTCAAGGGTTAATGTTAATATGTGCAAACAGAGTAAAAACTGACTAGGAGTACAAGAATTTATTATAACCCTATGTTTCCTATCAGTCTGCAGTAGAGGAGTAACATGCAAGTACCTCTGTGGCCTGTGATAAGACTGACTTCAATGCAGCTTCTATGCTTTGTAGGCCCTGAACTTATGAACTGTGAAAAGAAAAAAACTTTTAAAAGTCATACAGAGTAAGCAGTTTTCTTCTTGTGTTTTAAAACAGAGACATTTATTTTTACATGCTACTAACTGCTACATAATAATGTCTACCAGGTTGTTTTTCTTCTATCAAGAGAATAAAATTTCTTATTGTGCCATCATTCTCCTACCACATCATTTATTATTAAACAAAGACTTGTGCACTTTACTGTGCACTTTATGCTGTACCTCAATGCCAGTTGTTTTAATGACTGCTGTCAACACTCCTAGAGGAATATCAGGCTCCTAAGACTCGAGCACCTGTGACCAGTCTGGGGCCAGCATTCACTCCCAACACAGCCATTGTTCATGCTTCCACGCCACTGAGGCAACTCCACTGTATTTCCCTTCAAGCATCAGACACCAACACTCAGTTCTTTCAACTAAGGGTGAGCTGTGAGGCCCTCTGCCCAGATCTGTGAAGGAAGAAATTTCTACTACTTCTCTAGACCTGCTGAGGCTCATGCACAGCCCAGCAAGCTTGCTCCTACATATCTTCACATGAATCCTTTCCCTTTCCCATAACTTGACTTTTTCATATCCCCAATGTGAATGAGAAGTCCAAGAATCTCTTAAAATTATTTTTGTTACCACATACGTGTTTGACTCAGAATTAGACAGCTATGACACATTCTGCAATGGCACACAGCATCTAAGTCTGGTCTGCAACCTCTATGGTGAGTGTTGAACATTTCCATCAAAACCTCAGGGAAGTAACTAGTGTGAAGATAGTGTTACACAGTGTGCTAACTATTGCTATTCTCATTATTTTGTTATGAAAGCTTGTTTTATTTTTTTCAAAAATTTTTTAAAAACAAGTAAATTTCAATGCTAACATTCTATTGTAGTAACTTCAGGTTAAACTTTACAAAACTCTCAATTATGGACTATACTGGGTCTAAAGAATTATAATTTTATATGGTTCAAGCAAACAGTTTATTCAAGACACTCTTTGCAAAAAAGCCAAACCTTAGGTTGGATTTAAACAAAAGGAAAAGTAGGTTCTTAAGTGAATACTAGGCAAATAATGAAAGCCCCAAGAAACATCTTACCTTGGCTTTCAGAGCAGCACACAAATCCTGTTGCTTTTTCCTGTCCTTTGCCAACGTGCTTTCCATGTCATAAGTGGCAGAGGCCTCAAGGAGGGTCAACACCGCTTTCTGTATAAAGACTTTCCTATTCCTATTCCAATTTTCTAACAAAATTCTTCTCTGATCCCTAGCAAAGTGATATTGGTAACAATATTTCTCATGCTCTACCTGAAAAATAGGAGATGATGAAAACTTGTCAATATGAAAATGGGCCTATATTTTATGTCATTGCTGCAATAAAGTTAATTATAACTAATGATTTTGAAAGACTGAACATAAACTACTTTAGTAACAAATACAATAGTAAAGAATCAGGCACTAGCTTCAACTTTTAGAGCATATAGCTAACTGAGAACAAATCAATTAATGTCTGTAAGTCTTTTGTTTATTCAAGTAAAATAGATTCTGATTAAGTGGGCTCAAGAACAACTTTTACTTTATAAAAAAGAAGCAGAAAATGAGGTTCAATGAGTAGAAAAAATATGTTTCCCAATGAACAATGATTGTTAATTGCACCATATTTAAATCAGTTTTAAATATTACAACTAGTGTTTCAATTAGTCATGACAATAAAACTTAAAAATTGCTATAATTGAAATTTTCAGTTTAATCTTTAATTATAGTAACACTCAGATTCTTAATATTAAAGCAAGTATAGTAATAAAGCAGGTATAGCAACCCTAACCTGAACCCAAACCCTATATTTAACTCTAACCCTAAACCCTAACCCTAACCTTACCCCTAACCCTAGCCCTAAGTCTAAACCTTCTCACCCTAGCCCTTTCATTCTATGCTCTCAAAGAACGTGACACTTTCACATGAGTCCATTTCTTTGAGCAGAAACTCTCAACCATGAGAAGTATCAGCATCTTGAGGAATGAAGGGCAAGAATGAAGAGAGCCTGAGTGGTTTCAAAAATCTCACAGGGACTCTAAAAGCACCTCATGCAAAAGTATGTCTTCAGTTGACACTTGCTGATCTAACAATTCTTTTCTTTTTTTGTAACGGACTATATCTCTGAGTTTGGTGTATTATTTAATTCCTAAATGATATGAGAAAAGAAGCTAGCAAGCAGGCTAAGATATGCCTCATTTAATGTAATACGTTAGGTCTGATTGCTTAGGGATGTAATGAAACAGACTATGCTCTCACTTAAACCAAGTATCAGCTACCAAAATCTGTTCTGTACACTTCTTAACTTTGCTCAGTAAGGCCAAAAATATGCTTATCATCTATCAACATTAAGAAAACAAGCATGTACTATCTAAAAATGTATACTAATCAATCCAATGTAGAAAGTAAATATAAAACTCTATCATGTTAATAGTAGGAAAACAAAAGGTACAAAGTTCATGGTGATAGCTGGCCACAGAAGCAAATGAATTTATAAAGACAAGAAGAGAGCTCTAATTCAATAAACTGAGAATTTTTTAATTTCCAAAGTGAATTATTTATTCCACAACAGGTATCTATCATAGACCATAATCAAAATGAATACTTGTTGGGGTTATGGGAGAGAGAACAAAAAGTATGGGACAAGGTGGCCATAGTAGTTGCATGAACTCTGCCTCTGCTTCTCTGAAAATTAAAGACAACACTAGTGTTTCTCTCACCCACTGTTATGCATGCTAAAGGAGTTTCTACAGGATGACATAGAAATTTATATATTTATGATTGCTTAATTTCAAACAATTATAAAAGTACACAGTTGGTAATTATTGACAAATAAAACAATTCAACCTGCCAGTATGAGGGAAAGATTTAGCACTCACCAAATCATGCCTAGATTTGTGAGGAAAATATCTTTGTAACATGTCCAGATACAGAGTTCTTCTGCCACTGAGGTCTCCAGGATATTGATCCAAAACAGCCTGGTAAATCCAGTGATCTTCTTCATTTAGTTGAAAGTTTCTGATGGCAACAAAAATATCACAATGTATAGTTGAAGAATCATGGATTTTAAGGAAACTCAAAATTTTCCAGATATTTCCAAGTGATAGTAATTCCATAAATAAGTAATTTTTGAACACTAGGCAAATTTAATATCTATTACAGAAAAGTTTCTAAACTAATACAATGGTTCTTTCAATCATTTGTTTGGTATCTTCATGAGGGCCAGGTATAATACGAAGCAGCTCATGAAACACAATATTTTAAAAAAATATTTATTCTACCTTGCCTACCAGTATTTTAAAAATCATGACCAATGAATGCAGTAAACTAAACTAGAAAATAGATTATAATGCAAACAGATTTTAAAGGATATTTTTCCTTATTCAACAAAGTTACAACATCTAGGCTGGAGAGAAATGCAAATGTAGACAGATTATATTAAGGAAAATAAAGACAACCTGAAGGAGACACTTAAGGTTTGGCTTAAGACTAGTCTAAAAGTAACTTTTACTTTATCCTCTTAAGTCCTTGATTTGTGAGCATAATACTAAACACAGGTACACAGAGATAACCAATGGTGCTATGCTTTAGATCACTGAAGAAATCATTTGTAAACCTGACCCTTGCAAGTTGCTTTCCCTATCACATGTCCATGGTGCTCCAAAATGTTCTTTCTTATCAGAACATCATAGGCACTGACACACATATAAAGTAATAGTAAAATCCTATGCAAGTGAAAGGTTATATTATCAGCCTGAATTCTGAACTGAATTAATGCTTCTTTATAGTCTGAGATTATTTGCATATTATTATTCCCATTAATAAATTAGAGTAATCAAATACAGATGCAATCAGAAAAGATATTATTAGCCATAAATATTTCTTTGTCCCAAGATGAGGACTTGTCATTGTTCTTTTCTACTATAATAATGGTCTTACACTTTCAAGTTAATTGTACAACTCAAAAAAATTTTATGTCTATGCTTCTGAAAAGATACTTGAAAGTTTAAAACAATAAACATACTTTAAGTCAGAGACACTAATAAGAATTCCAGTCATAATGCAAGGTTACCTAGTTTCTGCAAAACACTTCATTTTTTATTAAGTGAAAAAAAAAAGAAAAATTCTTTTTCAAAGAAGAAAATCTATCTGCTCTATGATGGGGGAAAAAAATAAAGGATTGGAGGTATTCTACCAAGAAGAATACTCTACAGTTCTTCAATATGACATGCTAACCTAATGAAATGAAAGAATTTTAGATCAATTCAGGAGAACTTCTGAAAAGATAATGGAGTGGTGAGCAGCAGAGAAACAGCCTGTCTGAAATTTGGTGTCCAGACACTGAAATATAGCAATGTGAGGAAGAGAAGAAGGAGGGAAATTGATGCCCGGGACCCAGGAAAGATCTGAAGTAAGAATTGAAGCCCACAGAGAGAGTAAGCAAAAAGAGAAATTTCAATGAAGAAAAGAGGCAGGCAGCATCTTCTCCCTGAGCCTGGACTCAGTGGTTGGAGGAGGTAGCTCAAACCTGCAGATGCAAGTTGTCTGTGTCACCCTTGAGCTCTCCACAGAAAGATGAACCAGTGGAAGGGAGTATGGCCACAGGGGCCTACAGTGGCTGGTGAGTGGTGGGAGATTCAGATATCCTGCTGGAGAGAGCAATTGGCTGAGATTCATTTTGTAATGGGGCCAACGGAGCTAAGAACTCAGAACAACTGCTGGCTCCAACTAGTGGCCCCCAGCTGAGTTAAGATCCCCCCAGAAGCCACACCAACTGCTACAGGCCAAATGGGTCTGGTTTCAGCCTCATAGCCAGAAACCAGCTTAAACTTCAGGGAAATAAAGATGTAGGCTCCCTAGGATTAGTCACTACCCCACCATAAAGCCACTGCCAGCTTTCTGGGATTAATCAGCACACATCTAGACTTTGTCCACAATGCCCATAGTGACAGAGACATACCTAGAAGTGAAGCTTTTTTTCCCTCTCCCTCTCTCTCTCTCATTTTCTGTTTGTTTTATTTTCTTCATTACTTGTTCTTGTTTTTATATAAGTGTAAACATGGTTTCTAGCTTTTTTGTGGTGGTTGCTTTGTTCCATTCTTTTTCTTTTTTCTCTCTTTCCCTCCTGTATTCTGCACCCAAAATTTACATGATCTTCCTTTATCCTCCAGACTTGCTTCTAATCTCATTCCTTTTGTTTTTCTATTTTTCCCCAAAACCCTTTTAAATTTTCTCCCCTAAGGGTAAAATTGTCATATTGAGATTTGTTTATTATATGCAATTTTCTGGTTAGTTTTAAATTTTGTTGTATAACCACAAATACAGGTTATATGGTTAAAGGTGGCAAATTAATAGTTACCTCAATTTGTCATTTGCTAGGCTGTGTTTGATACTAATGTTATTACTGATTGTACCATATTAGTCAAGTTAAAATAATTGTTTTAACCAGTTGTTCTTCCTGGTATACCAAGAAAGAGATTGCCTAAGTATCATTAAAAAATTACTATAGGTTAGTGCCAAAGAACCATGGACCTGGCCAAACAGACAGCAACTTCTTATCACCAATAAATTTAAGAAGTATGATCTTGCAACAGACTCAAATCCCAAAAGCTAGCTACACTTAGAAGACATTGCTGAGAAGTAGTGATTTCCTAAGGGTCTAAATACTAGCAATAAAGCAGCTTATCATACGCAATTTATAAGCATCAACCTAGGAATTAAACTTTAAAAAATAGAATATGAGAAGACACTTAAGCAAGATGCAATCCCAAATGTCCTACTCAACAAAAGCAAATCCATGGGGCAGTGAGGTGGGACAATCCAAAAGCCACCCATCTGGCCTCTTTAAAGTAGTAACAGCAGAAGTAATAAGGCAAATGAATGAAGTAATAGAAATCAAATTGGAAATACTTTCTCAAATAGTCACAGAGATTGTGACAACAATGAAACACATGCTTGGTGACTCTAGAGAAGATACAGATAAAAAACAGAAGAGGTTAGGAAAATGTTGGAAACCATAGATGCCAACATAGGGAAGAAATGAAATTCATAAAACAGATATCAGGAATTAAAAACTATTAAAAGTATACACTGCAGGATGAGTCAATTTGAGAACAGAATATCTGATATAGAAGACAGAATCGCATATATCAATCATAAAATGAAAGATTTCTTAAAAATAGCCACAAGGGACCACAAGAAATCAATCCAGTAGTTCCTAGATGATGCAAAGAAGAATGCTGTTATGGGTTAACAACTGGTGGTCAACTTAACACCAGCTGAATTATATCAGCATGGTGCTGAGCATAGATGGCCAACCTGAGGAAAGCTGCCAGCCTAAATAGAAACATGGAGAAGAGCAAGGTGTTGTGGGGTCTCCTCAAGTTGCTGTTTTGAACCATTTGTTCTCCTAGAGGAACTCGTCATGAGTAGCTTCCCAAATATGTGTTCGGCCATTGTCATGGCAGGAGTTTGCGACCTTGTTGGTGAGAATGGCTGTAGTTCACTTTGGGGGAGCTCTAGTCCTCACATTGAGCATGACTTCCTGGCTCTGGAGGGGAAGATGTGTGCTATTTAATCTCCAAGAGAAACTTGTCACTCTGGCTTCCTGACACGAACTCAGCTTTTCTTATCATTGGAAGAGCTCAGGACCTCCTTGTCACTGAGGATGGCTGTGGAATTTTTAGGGCAGCCCTGTCTCTTATTTTGAACATGACTTCTCATCTCCAGTGTAAATACTTCAACCTACTGGCACAGCTCCATCAGCCTGCTGGCACAGATTTTCTGGCTTCCACCGCTGGCCTTTGGGCTTTCCCAGCAGATCTATAAACAGACTGGCATGAGTCTTTGTCATGGGTTCTAGACCTCCAGTTGGACTTGTGGGAGGCATTGTTACAAGCTCTAGGTCTTCAGCTGGACTCATTCAGGACATTGCTGTGGGATCCAGGCCCTTGGCTGAATATTCTGTGTCTTTAATGCTGTGAACAGATTTCCTGCACTTTCTTGTGTTTAGCTCCAGGTGACCATCATAAAATAATATTACAAATTCTATTTCTTGATTGTAATTTTTTTCTCACAATCCCTCACTACAAAAAAAATCATAAAATTTATTGGAATCAATGAAAAAGCAGGAGAAAATGAAAATGACATAAGCAACTTGTTCACAGATGTCATGGCAGAAACTTCCCTGGCCGAGTAAAAGAATGTGACATACAGATAAGTGAAGCATACAGAACTCCAATTACCCATGATCAAAAACATCTACAGCAAGGCATATAATAGTCAAGACTCCAAAAATTCAACACAAGAACATTAAAATATTAAAATTTTTTGTTTTCAAAAATAAACTAAATATAAAGGAAAACCCATCAGAATCACAGTTGACTTCTCAACACAAACCCTCAAGTCAAGAAGAGCTTGGGGTGAAGTATTTCAAGCCCTAAAAGAAAACAACCTCCCAAAACCCAGATTGATATACCCTGCAAAACTGTCTTTCAATATTGATGGAGAAATAAGATACTTCCTGAGAAAATTCACAAACACCAAACCAGCACTCCAAAATGTTTTGAAAGACATTCTAGAAAGAGATCATAAGGACTACCACTCCTTGAACCCCAAGGCAATGAACTCCAAGGAGCTCTTTGTTCCTTGGAAAGAGAATATAACTGGAAAGGCAAACAAGTAAACATGGGGGAAAAAGAGGAGCCAATAACAAGAAAATAACATGACAAGGATAAATCAATACATTTCAGTTATAATATCAATGTTAATAGTCTCAATTCCCTAATCAAAAGAAACAGACTAGCAGAATGGACCAAGAAGAAAGATTCAACATCTTGCTGCATACAAGGAACACATTTAATTCAAAAATAAATTCATAGACTGAAAGTCAGAGGGTGGAAAACAACATTTTATGTGACAATAATCTGGAAAAAATCAGGAGTAGCTATTCTATTTGCAGACAAAGTGAATTTCAAGCCAAGACTAATTAAGGAAGACAAAGAAGATCACTGTATCTT